TGTGTAAAAACCAAATTGTGTATAAACTATATTATACTGTAGCAGTCTGCTTGGACTACTATGACAAAATACCACAGACTGCGTGGCTGAAACAACAGAAATTGGTTTTTCCACATTTCTAGAGGCTGGAAAATCCAAGATAAAGTTTCTGGCAGGGTTCAATTTCTGGTGAAGCCTCTCTTCCCATGGCCTTTCTTCTGAGCGTGCCGAGAGGGAGAGTGCCAGCTCTCTGGCCTCTGTTCTTATAGCCTGTTGAAACTGCTGTGATAGTCCTTCCCTTTGAAATCAATGTGGAGACACTCTTGCCCTCTTTGCCTGTGTACCCTGGGCCTGTGGTGGGTATGGCAGCCCTCCACTGATCTCTGAATCACTGTGGTCATTCTTCCTTTTTTTAAAGAATAGTACACGTTTGCATCAAAATAGATTGGTTCTCCAGTGCTGTAGAATGCAAGAAGTCTCACAGCCTTCTTTTATGTCATCCTATTTTTCTTTCTCCCTTTTATTTCCATCTAAATAGTATTTCTGCTGGCATAATCCTATCTCTATACCTGGATTCTGCTGTGATGGATGGTTGAACTCATAGTGCATACTCATGCTAATCTCCTTATCAAATGGGTTAAGCCATACCCTAGTATCCTCTTCAGAACAAGTGTTCTTATTTTTTGCAATATGCATAAGTTGAGAATTTTCCAAATCTTCAAGTTTGGGTTCTTTTGTGCTTACCAGTTCCTTAATCTCTCTCCTTGCATTTTACTGTAAGTGATAAGGACAAGCCAAGCTGCAGCTTCAACACTTTGCTTAGAAATCTCCTTAGCTATTAATAAATATCCAGTTTCATTACTTGAAAGTGCTACCCTTCCACAAAAGACTAGAACACAATTTAGCTGTTTGCCACTTTATACCAAAGTTTCTGCCCTTCGTCCAGTTTTCAATAACATGTTCCATATTTTCATCTGAGACTTCATGAGAATTGCTTTTAACATCCATATTTCTACCAACATTCCCTTCAGGGCAATCTAGGCCTTTTCTAGCCTGCACCTCAAAACTCTTCAGCCTCTCTCTATCATCCCGTTTTAAAGCCACTTCCACATTTTTCTGTATTTGTTGTAGAAACATCCCACTTCTTCATACCAAAATTTGTATTAGATTTTTTCCCCAGGAAAACAGAACCAATAGGATGGAGATATATAATTGTGTGAGCCAATTTCTTAAAGTTAATATGTTCACTGTAAGGAATGTTGCTCACACAATTATGGAGGCTGACAAGTCCCAAGATTTGCAGTTATTAAGCTGGAGATTCATGAGAGCTGATATTGCTGCAGTCCAAACCTGAAAGCCTGAGAACCTATGGTGTAGTTCCAGTCAGAAGGCCGGCAGGCTTGAGACCCAGGAAGAGCCAATGTTTTCTGTTTCCCAGCAGGAAGGCGCTCAGGCAGGAGGAATTCTCTCGTTTGGGATACAGTCAGTTTTTCGTTCTTTTCAGGCTTTTAACTGCTTAGATGAGGGTCACCCACATTAAGGGTGGCAATCTGCTTTACTGGTCTCCTGACTTAATACTAAACTCATCCCAAACACCCTTACACAAACACCCAGAATAATGCTTAACTGGGCATCAAATAAAAATTAACCATCACGTCACATGTCATGAGTGCTATCTAGGAAAAAAACAATTAACCATCACATATACTAACAATATTGTGGTTAAACCATGGAGATGACATATAATGAAAGTTGTACATTTTCCAAGAATTTAGCTTGATTAATACCAAACACATCCCCCTTTTACATTTACAGACCAAATTACAAAATGCTTTAAATTGTTTTAAAGCAATGAATGCCCAGCATTGCTTCTCTTGTAGGCCAATATCTAAGGCCATTCATTTAACTCACAGCTATATGTCTCTCTCTCACAACTGTAGCTGCAGCAGGAAAAATTTCCTTAAGGAGATATTAGACATTGTTTTTTTTTTTCCTCTTTTGAGTTGCTGTACATTAGCTGAATTACATATTCATCTAAAAATCAATTGGCACAGTGCAGTTGTAGATTTTAAAAGACATTATAAACAGATGATGATATAATAAGTGAAATATTTTATTAGAAGCTATGCTTTCCATAAGGACAATTTTAACTGTATTTAAGATCAGTCACATTTAATACAGAAGAGACACAAAAGTGATTTCTCTACTGCTGAAAAGTACACCTGAAATGATGTGCAGTAAACTGGTCTTAGTGTTTATGACCAGTGGGTGTATAAACAAGCCAAAGAAGCAGCGGTGGTTGCATTTCTCTTCCCATTGAATCATGGACAAGTAGACAATAGTGTAATACTGAAATCTTAGCCTATCAAAACGCTAGAATTACACAAAAGTATTTCTTTGGAAGCTGCTAGCTGGAAATGCACACACCTGCCAAGAGTTACGATAATGTGTTCAGACTAGCTTACCAAAATAAATGATAGTTCAATGAACTGAATTAGAGCACATTTGCTGATGAGAAACCACCCATAGTCAGATCAGCATACCAAGGCTAAAAGGAGTTAACGGTTTGGGACTTCATTGGGGTCAGCAGTTGTAAGTAATTGTCAAGGCAATTTCAGAGGAACCTGTAGACCTAGCATTGCACATAGAGACACATCCAGAGGACTAAACTTATTGAATAGTTTTGTCAAGGGGCAGGGTGAGCTTTAAATGTTAGGAAGAGGGTTTCATGGTGGTTATTTTTATTAGGATCAGAAGCTGGCATTTTAGACCAGTTGGAATGAGTCGGTGCTGGGGATCAGCGTTCAGCAAACATTTTTTGTAAAGGGTCCAACAGTAAATATTTTGGGCTTTGTGGACTTTGTGTTCTTTGTTACAACTATTCTACTTTGCTGTTGTATTCTGAAAGCAGCCATAGACAGTACATAAAGGAATGTGTGGCTGTGCCGCAATAGTATTTTATATATAAAACAGCTGGCAGACTGGCCATAGCTGGTTCATAAAACATGTCTCATTTTATGTTGATCAGAAAAAATCAGGCAGGTCTAGAAAGGCCTGACATGCTTAGGTTTACTCAGAGCTCATGGCATTTTTTTTTTATCAGCTCCAAGTAGATAGAACCAATTGTAATGGAACAAGACATACAAATTTGGTATCTCTTAGGCAAGTGCTATTATTATAGGTACCTAATCACCTATAATTTCCTTTTACAATGACTTGTAGAAAACCCAGAAAAGCAGGTCTTCGATTGATTAAGGTCACCAGGAGTCAAAAATCCTTTGGGGGATTGTAGACCTACACCACATCCCTCTGCTCCACTGCTAAATTAAATATTTGCTTGTGAATGGAGAAACATTTCGTTTAATTTCACACATGGATTTTTTTAACCACTGTTTTATATTGCCTCCCCCATTTAGGGGAACTTCTAGGTGAAATAACTCCTAATTAAATTCATCACTTTCTTACAGTAGAAAAGGTCACTAGGAAATTTGTAATAACTCATTTAGTAAAAGCATGTATTTGTGGGTAGTGTTCATATCACCGTTAATGACTGTGGCTTAGAAGATAAACGTGTAACTCTACTTGCAGCAGCGTAGCAGTTTGTAGAGCCGAACCTGCTGTGATGCTTTCTTGAACCTTTTAGTTTGGCTGATACTTAGAGCTGGTTTGTGGGGTGGGTGTTCTGTGCTGCAGCAGAGCGTGTACTATGCCACTGTGGGATGGAAGGTAGGTCTGAAGAGGAAGGCTTTGTTGTGAACATCTGAGGAATGACTGCTGGGCAAGTGTTACCATCCACGAGGCACCTATGGTGATTTCTGACCAAGACTTTCTCTCTAGCAGAGCGCAGGACAGAATTCCAGCCCTGTCCCTCCCGCCCGGTGGCCTTTTCTAGTCCACAGTTCCTCAGACAATACATGCTAAGCGGTCATCCCCCTCACATCTTCCCAAGCTCACCTGCGGCAAGTGACTTTCAACTTGAAGCTCCAAGCTGCTCGAGTGAGAACGGAGAAGGTGCAGGGAGAGAAGGCGTCGACTTATCATTCAGGGAGACAAGGCCGAGCAGAATTTCAAGAACATTTTTCAGCACACATCAAGGTCACCCAGTAGATTGGGTGGAAGGCAGCAGAGGAGGAGGAACAGATCTTGGCCTGGCCCAGAGGATGAGCCCTGAGGAGTCAGACACAATGTTGAAAGGAGTCAATGCCTCAGAATCTGGAGCAGTTATATGTGGAAAATATAGACTAGGACTTAGCAAAAAGTCAGGCCTGTTCAGCCACCACAGGCATCATGAGTGCCCTGAATGTGGGAGAGGCTTTTGCCAGAGATCAGACCTCATCAAGCACCAGAGGACACACACAGGGGAGAAGCCTTTCCTGTGCCCCGAGTGTGGGCGCCGCTTTAGCCAGAAGGCCTCCCTCAACATACACCACAGGAAGCACTCGGGAGAGAAGCCGTACGTGTGCAGGGAGTGTGGGCGATGCTTCAGGTACACTTCCTCTCTCACTAACCACAAGAGGATCCACTCCGGGGAGAGACCCTTTGTATGTGAGGACTGTGGGCGGGGCTTTCGCCAGAAGATAGCCCTCATTCTGCACCAGAGGACGCACTTGGAGGAGAAGCCCTTCGTGTGCCCCGAGTGTGGGAGAGGCTTTTGCCAGAAGGCATCGCTTCTCCAACACCGGAGCTCACACACAGGGGAGAGGCCCTTCTTATGCCTAGAGTGCGGGCGCAGCTTCCGGCAGCAGTCGCTGCTCCTCAGCCACCAGGTCACACACTCAGGGGAGAAGCCATATGTCTGCGCTGAGTGTGGGCACAGCTTTCGCCAGAAGGTCACCCTCATCAGACACCAGAGGACACATACAGGGGAGAAGCCTTACCTGTGCCCCCAGTGTGGGCGAGGTTTTAGCCAGAAGGTCACCCTCATCGGACACCAGAGGACACACACAGGGGAGAAGCCTTACCTGTGTCCCGTGTGTGGGCGTGCCTTTGGTCAGAAGGTCACCCTCATCAGACACAGAGGACGCACACAGGGGAGAAGCCTTACCTGTGTCCCGTGTGTGGGCGTGCCTTTGGCTTTAAGTCACTCCTCACCAGACACCAGAGGACACACTCAGAGGAGGAGCTTTATGTAGAGAGAATGTGTGGGCAAGGACTTGGCCAGAAGTCACACCCCATCTCTGACCAGAGGACACACGCAGGAGAGAAGCCATGTGTTTGTGATGAGTGTGGTCGTGGCTTTGGCTTTAAGTCTGCCCTCATCCGACATCAGCGGACCCACTCTGGGGAGAAGCCGTATGTGTGCAGGGAGTGTGGGCGTGGCTTTAGCCAGAAGTCTCACCTCCACAGACACAGGAAGACCAAGTCTGGCCATCAGCTCCTACCACAAGAGGTGTTCTGCTGACCTCTCCTCTCCTTTTCTTTCCCATGAATGTAAAGCTGACAGAAATCACGAGTAAATGTTCCACTTTCCTGAATTGGCATGGGGAAAAGTTGCTTTCTTTCTTTGATCATGAGACAGTTGATTTATGATTTACTTTCTGTGTTAACAGTGTGTTCACGAGGGCGGCCATAACAAAGTACCCCAAGCTGGGTGGCTTTAACAACACAAATTTATTTTCTTATACTTATGGAGCCTGGAAGTCCCAGATCAAGGTGTTGGCAGGTTTGGTTGCTACTGAAACCTCTTTCTGTGGCTTGCAGATGGCTGCCTTCTTCCCGTGTCCTCACGTGGCCTTTTCTCTGTGTGCATGCTTTCCTGGTGTCTCCTCTTCTTACAAGGACAAGTCATTTTGGATGGGATCGTACCGTTATGACCTCATTTAACCTTAATAACCTTAAAGGCCCTATTTCCAAATACAGTCACACTGGGCCTTGGGACTTCAGCATATAAATCTTGAGGGAACATAATTTAATCCATAACACTGTCCTCTGGACTGCCAAAGTTCATGTCCTTGTCACATACAAATACATTCACACCATCCCAACAGTAACAAAATTCTGAACCCATTTCAGCATCAACTCTAAATCTAAAATCTCATCTAAATATCATCTAAATCAAGTGTGGATTGAGATTCCAGGTACAATTCATCAAAATTTTTCAGCTGTGATCCTGTGAAACCAGGCAGGTTATCTGCTTCCAGAATACAATGGTGGGACAAGCAGAGGCTAGACTTTCCCATTCCAAAAGAGAAACATCAAAAAGAAATAAGGAGCGCTGGGTTCCAAGCAAGTCCCAAACCTAGCAAGGCAAATTCCATAAGGTTTTAAGTCTTGAGAATAATCCTCTTTGGCTCATTACCCAATGTCTCCTGAGCCCACTGGGTTGGCAGCCCTTCTTTCTGGGCTCACTGGGGCTGCAGTGTTGATCCTTTGGCCCTGGGCAGTAGCTGCTGGCCCACTGAAATTGACGAGGAGACACACTTGGCGCCCCTCCCCTCCAAACCTGTATTCTGGTCCCATGGTCAGAGTGGTGGCCCTGCCAATCTCAAATGCACCTTTGAGAATCACACTCTTCGCTTTTCTTGAAGATTAACCCATGTTTGCAGCTGGATAGCTCTATTATACCGTCCTTTACAATCCCAGAAGTCCAATAACCTGCCTTCGTTTCGTTCTATCTCCTTCACTGTTCAGGCTGAGCTGGCAGAGTTTCTGGTGAGGGGGTTAATGGTTTCCACTCATACCCATACTAATCTCTTTTATCAAATGGTTGTCCAGCCACACTCTTGGTGTTCTCCCTAGAACATGCTTTCTCATTTTTTGCTGTATAGATAGGCTGAGTATATTCTAAGTCTTTAAAGTTCTCGTTCCTTTTTGCTTAATAGTTCCTTCAGTTTCTCTCTCTCTCATATTTTACCATAAGCAACAAGGGGAAATCAGGCCACACTTTAATCACTTTGTGTAGAAATTTCATCTGAATATTTCTGCACTTAAATCACTTACAATTTCTACATTCCGCAATACACTAGCACACAATTTGGGTAAGTTCCTTTCCACTGCATAGTAAGATTCCAGTTTCCAGTTACACATTCCTCATTTCTCTGTGAGACCTTACTAGAATCACCTTTAACATCTGCATTCTTACCAACAGTCTTTTAAAGGCAATCCAGGCTTTTTTAAAACATGTGCCTCAAAACTCTTTTAGCCTCTACCAATTACCCAGTTCCAAGCACCACTTCTACATTTTTAAGCTTGTTACAAAGCACCCCACTCCTGGGCCCAAAATTTGTATTAGTTCTCTAGAACTGACATAAGGAAACACCAGACTGGGTGCCTGCAGCATAGATAGAACATTTATTTTGTCATAGTTCTGGGAGCTGAAGTCCCAGAACGAGGTGTCAGCAGGTTTGGTTTCTATTAAAGCCTCTCTCCTTGGCTACCTTCTCACTGTGTCTTCAGATGGCACATTCTTTGTGCATGTACTTCCCTAGTGTCTCTCCTTATAAGGACACCAGTCATACTGGATTAAGGCCATACCCTTAGGACCTCACTTTATCTCTATCACTTTAAATGTCCTATATCCAAATACAGTCATATTGGAGAGTAGGGCTTCTACACATGAATTGGGATGGGGAGGGGCACAATTTAGTCTATAACACTGCCTTCTGGACCTCCCAAATTCATGTCCAGTCATCAACTCCTGTCATAAGAAGCGTTCTCCTGACCATTCCTTTCCTTTCCCCATAAGTGTGAAGATGACAGAAATCACTAGTAAATGTTGTTCCACTTTCCTGATATGGAATGAAGAAAAAAAAGTTGCTTTCTTTCATTGATCATGAGATATCTGATTTTTGCTTTATTTTCTGCACAACAGTGCTCTGTGTTATGTGGCCTTTTGTTTTAATAAACTGCTTCTCTACAAGGCTGCATACCTGGCTATGTACCTCATTCACTGATCTGTTGAGGAGAACCCCAAGGATTCAACTTCTTGGGAGACATGGAAGAATTACTGTATTCATTTATCCTGGACTGTTGTCCTGTGTGAGTGACATTAGGTCTTCAACCTTACCTCTTCCTGAGTCCTCCAGTGTCTGTGATGAGTGTCACTAGCCACACACTCAGCCTCCCTAATACCAGACTGAAGGGCATTTATTCTCACCCCTGGCCCTAAGCCCTATCATCTTAGCTATGCCCACATTCCAGTGATCCAGCCCAAAGTTTCAGGCTGTTAGTCCTTCAGTCAGGGGGTAAGGTTCTGAGGCCACCCGCTCTTATGGCCAGCCCAAGACACTGCCCTTTAGCCATGACCCCTCCTTTTCCATAATCCTAAGAGCCCAAATGTCCCAGATCCTGACAAATGGCTACATCAGGACTCTCCTTTGTCCTGTGCCTTTGGCCCCAAGTGTTCATGGCAGGGTTAATCTCCCCAGGTCCTAGAAGCATTACTGGCTCAGAGAAGTTTTTCAGCAGAATGAAAGGAAAGAGGTTTTAGTTTTGGGAAATCAGAAAGTTTTGGGAGGATTGATGAAAGTAGAATGACAGATGGGGGTCACTGGCCCCAACACCTTAGCTGGAGATGTCCAGACTTCAGCGATCTTTTTACCAGCTTTGGCAGGGATAGCCTGAGATCACCTGAGGACAGCCTTCATTGACACATTTCCACTAAAGCCCTTTTGCTTCTCCCATGGCCAGAGCTGAAAGTCACAGGGGAATTTATGTGTGTGCATGTACACATGTGTGTGGTGTGGGGTCATCTCACACCAGCAGTTTAAGAAATTTCTACTGAGGATATAAATAGAAATGATAACCGTTCTACATATGTATTGACCTTTTACTTCAAAGTGTTTTCCCATAATTGGAAGTTTCTATGGACATTCACCCAAAATAGATCAAATAAATGATATATAAATCAAAAACAATATAAAAACTGAACTTATGTGTTTTATGATTTCTCTGCTAGATAAATTTGAAACCTCTATTTTACATAAAAATGGTGATGAAAAAAGGGGAAATGAACGCTTTTGATTGGGTTAATAGAAAAACCACAGCAGAAATGAACATTAGTGCTTTATGGAAAGAGGAAATCTATATCTAACACTACTACACAACATTTAGCTATAGGCCTTTGGAAAAGAAAAACCAAATAAACCATCAGAACATACATTCTTCATGGTCATTATGTCAGAACTCTGGAAATATAATAGGCCTGGCTGTGAATACCTAAAAAGAGCACAAAACGACTGTTCTTAAATGGAGCATGGTAATAATTTTCACAAGGTGTTGTCCTTTTGTTTGTAATAAAATTAGTGACTCCAATTTTGGTAACATTAGACTAAGAAAAATATTTAGGAATAATGTTAATAAAGAATGTTCTAAGCCAATAATAAGAAAACTATAAAACACGACTGAAAGCACACAAGAATGACCTGAATAAATAGTCATCTTCTCTTCCTGATTAGAACGTCTCAACATAGCACAGATGTCAGTCTCATTAACTTTATAATTTACAAAGTTATGTAATCCCATTAAAAATTCCATTGAGTTTTCTTCATTGAGCTATATCAACTACAAGTTAATCCTAAAATTCATGTGGAAAAATTATACATAAGAATTGCTGTGGAAACACTGCACAGGAAGTGCTCTAGGGGGACTTGCCCATCCAGATATGAAAACACCTTACAAAGCCTCTATAATTTCAACAGTGTGGTGGCACATGAATAGATCAATGGAACATAATGGAGTAGAATTAGACCAAAAACATTTTTTAAAAAGTAGTATTTCAGAAAGGTGGAAAATCAAATAACTGGCAAATATTCTTATAATAAATGGGACATTAGTGAGCCATTTGGAAAATGATAAAATTCTATTCCTCGCATAATACATAATTTCTAATGTGTCAGAGATTTAAATAAGAAAAATAAAAGGACAGAAGACAACAGATGAAATCATCTTTAGCCTGGTGTAGCTACAGGCTTTCTAATTCTGACTTAAAATCCACAGATCAAGACTTATGTGTACATATGGAAGTAAAACTCAACAGAAATCAAGCAGGTGGGAGGGGTGAGCAGGGGATGGGTAAATTCACACCTAACAGGTACAGTGCACACTATCTGGTTGATGGACACACTTATAACTTTGATTAAAACTGTACAAAAGCAATTTATGTAACCAAAATGTACCCCTGTAATATTCTGAAATTTATAAAAAGGGAAGAAAGAAAAAAATCAGAGCCAATAAAAAATTAATAAATGTTATTTACACATAACAAAAAAACTTTTGCATGGCTGAAGAATACAATCAGCAATATCTGGAGGCAAATGACTGTAAGAAAATACATATCAACATATAAATCAACATATTTCACTCGTAAAGGGTTAATCCTCATTTTATCAATGTTTTAAAATTTGAGGGAAAAAGACCAGAAAACCTATAGGAAAGTGAGCAGAAGATATGAACACGCTCTTTACCAAAAGAGGTATAAACATATGAAAAGATGTTCAACTTTACTCATGGCAAGAGAAATGTAAATTAAACAACACTGAAACACCAGTTCTCACCCATTAGATTACCAAAAATTCAAAAGCTTGACAGTACTATATAGTGATCAGACTGTGGGAAAACAGGCATGTTCATACATTGTTGGTGGGACTGCAAAATGGTATAAGCCCTATAGAGGGAAATAACAATACTTAATAAAATTACATATACACAGACTGTTGACACAGCAAGCGCACTTTTAAGAATTAATCCTGAAGAGTCACCTCCAATTATGTGAGTGTGCACATGCACACAGTTATTGATGAGAGCATTATTTACAGTTGCAAAATATTGGAAACTGCTTGGACAGTCAAGCATAGGAAATTGATTAAATAACACATGATGGAGTAAAACCCAGCTGTGAAAAGAA